AAAAGGCTGGATGAAGCAGGTGCTTGCAGACCTTCACAGCTAAGCCTGCCTGCTTTTCTGAGTTCTAACTCAAAACGTGGAACTTTCCCTTTTCCTTCTATGTATTATTTGGATCCTAGTCAAAAGCCTAAGCACTCTGGCCCTGATTCTCTGGGCTTTTCCCCTTTCTCTGAAGGAGTCGCCCTCCCTTGCCCCATGTACCTGCTGGCTGACCACTGCTGAACCTGCTTGTTTTTTGTACTTTAACTCAAAAGGCATGACTCTATCTTCCTCCTCTCTTCATCTCCCTCCTCTCAGTAGCTGCCAAGACTTACAGCTTGCCTGCCCTGTTGTTTTTCCTCTTAAACGCTAATAAAATGGTCTTCAAGGCAGCCAACTTAGCATACTGAGTTCCAGGTCAATGAGGGACTGTCTCAAAAAATGGTGGCCAGCACCTGAGGAATCACAGCTGAGGTTGTGTGTGTGTGTGTGTGTGTCCCGGTAAACCCACATGAACATGCCCAAATACTAACAGGGTGGTTGTGAGGGTGCAGTAGTAGCTACAAGAGGAGTACTGTGAGGAACACGGAGGGGTGCAGTGGGATATAGACATTTCCAGAAACATGTATGAACTTGGAGACAGATGGATGACTACAGAGAGAGGAAGTCATCCTAGTCAAAGAAGCCAGTCACATGACTACACAACTTCTGCACTGGGGACAGGCGCATTGCATTTGGCTGTTGGGAGTGGATGCTGTTGGGAGTGTGAAACAAGTGCAGTTAGGGGCAGGATGCCAGCTTTCCCAGGTTGATTCTGTATCAAGTGAACACTTCTTTCCCATGTTGGTCCCAATAGCATGAGGGTGAGCTTGATTTCCAGAGCCTTTCCACTTTCCTGTGACTTGTCAGCAAGAGCTGGCTCTGTAGCCCTATCAAGTTCGGCTTTGGGGGCTTCCTGTACAGGCCCTCCATCTGCCCAGCTCTGCCTACAGCTGTGTGGACTGAATCCTGCAGGGGTGCAGATAGGACTGGGGGCCCAAACCTAACCAGGGCAAATGGTGACAGACACTATGAGGGCACTGTTTGTCCCTTACTTGGTGGCCGTAGTGAGAGGCCAGGTGTGACTTTCCCTCTGGCTTTGAACACCCAGTGGTCAGATGCTGCTCTTGAGTCACACAGCATCACTTTCTGCCTTTTGTCTAGGACTCACTGTAAATATATAGTAAATTTAAAAGTAGAAACAAAAGCTAGTAATTTATACTTAAAATCTGCATACTTTTCAGAATGAACTAGGCTGGGGCTCTGGTCCCTCAGCAGAGCCCTCAGCTATCTGAGCCCTCCTGGCTCATCCAGACTTTCTGTTGAAAAGATGGGGTTCAACTGATCCAGTGCTCCTTTTAATATACCATTCATGTCTCCTAAGATTTTTCCTAGTACTTTCTGTCATGTTAAGATCTTATAAGTGTAGGCTGGAGAGCTGGCTCAGTAAGCAAAGGTGCTTGCCACCAACCCTGATAATCTGAATTCAATTCCTGGGACCCGCATAGTAGGAATCACCTCCTGAAAGTTGACCTCTGACCCCCACACCCAGAGTGGCACCCACCCAACAGGTGCAGTTACATACATTCAAGCAATACACTCATACACATAAAATAAAAATACATAAAATATTTTTTCAAAGTGCCAAAATATATTCCTAATGAACATTACTTCAAAATAAGCCTAGAATTTGAGCTTCCCAAACTTGCTGACAAGCCGGATTCCATCCTCTGAGTTGGTCTGGCGATGCTTTCGGCGCCAACAGACAGCAGCTGGCTGCTGTGTGTGAGTTTTCAGACCAAAACCATACTGTTTGCTGGGCTAAGAGCTGAACTTTTTGGGGGGGCGGGGTTGCCAATATTGCTACCATCACTGGAGACTTTCCTTTAATGTGCCCCAAGCTCTGAGAAGATGCTGGCACCTCAGGCCAGGGCAGCATCACTGAAAACAATGACAGGCCCAAGGAGACAGGTCTTTGTAATTATAGATGCTCAAAATGAGTCAAAGCCGTCTAGTCACACATACCACACAAGCTACATTTCTCGAGCATCTTACAAAGTAGGTTTTATACACACTGTAGGCTGAAAATTGAATTGATTTCTACAAAACCAACAACTGACCATGATCTTAGTTCCTTCATGACACAGTAATGTTGTCATTAAAAAAGGCAAAAGGCACTTTAATGTTAATCACTAGACAGTAAATCACAAGACAAAATCACAAGAGTGTAAAATCTGTGCCCAACACCAGTCACCAGAAAGGGAGTGAAGTTTAGGTGCTGGTAGTGTGCAGAGCAGTAGCCAATGTTTTGTCAGACGTGCTCTTCAGAAGAAAAGTCATGAATGAGCCTACAGCTCTAGCAGGTGTCACACCAGCACCGCCACTTGCTCTCACTCTCTTCCGGAGACGACAGAGTGCTTCATTTGGCCACTCTGGAAGAATTTATTTTCTTGATATCAACTGCACTCAGAATCAATGTCCCATTCTTGAATTTTCCAACCTGCCCAATCCGTCTACTGGATAAAATACTGGGGGCTGACTTCTTGGCTTTCCTGTGTTCGAGGTGAGAGACAGGTGCCAAGCAGTTAGCAGCAAGAAGAGCAGAGGCTTCCTGGCTGCCTTGTCAGAGTTGCATGGGCCTTCCTGCCTCAGAGCCTTGGTGTGGAATGCTATTTTCAGGGTGTCCCCATTCTCTGCTCAGTTCTTACCTGACATTATCCCCTGAAGCAGCCTTCGGCTCACCCCTAGCAAAGCTTTCACGAGGCTTAGCCTCTTTATAGGACTTGCTGGTACTGTACTCCCGACTACCATGCCCCTAAGTACGGGCTCCCTGGGGTGCTCACTGCTGGGCACCAACACCTACCCAGCACATGGTGGGCACTCAACAGAGAGAGAATAATGATAGTGCAGAAGGGCCAGGATGAAGAGAGTCTGGTGTGGAACAGTGCCCAGAGGAGAGCTAAGAGATAAGCGCCAGGCCCCACACCTGCCACTTCACTGCTGAGCATCTACCATATGCTCTACCACACACAGTGTCAAAGACCCACAACCCAGGCAGTCATGTCCACAGGCTCTCTCAGGAGGGAGGGGAGTCTGGGCAGAATGCCAGCCACAGCTTCTCCACTAGGTACTTGAGGTGTCTAGTCTTTGATAACTTGAGACTAGAGAAGGTTTCAGATCCAGTTCTGAGGTCTTGGGCAGTTTCCTAACCTACCATCCCCTAACAAGCCTGAGTAGAGGTAATGTACCCTCCCAACCCCCCAACTAAAGGCATAATATGGAAAACCAGCTACAAGGCTCAGCCAGCGATAACCCCGCACCTGCTACCACCACACCATACTCACCTCTCTTCCTGTCCTTTTCTTTTCTTTCTCTTGGAAAAATCTGTGTCCTGGGCCTGATTTCAGAATTTAAGATGTGAGAGCAACAGATAATGGAGATTCAAAAACAGGACAACAGTTTTGAGACAAAAACCCATAGAAATACCATTTATTTAAAGCATTCAGGTGTGTTATTAAGTATAAGCCACAAAGTCACCCTAAAACCCATTCCAAAATATCACAGGCTATGGAGTATGGTGGTACACATCTGTGCCCCCTGCACTCAGGTGGCAGAAGCAGGAGCACCAATTCCAGACCAGCTTGGGCTAAATAGTGAGACCCTGTCACAAAAACCAAAGAGTTTGGATGGTAGCTCAGTGATAGGGCCATTGTCCGTCCAAAGTAAAAGGCTATTTTTTAATTATGGATGAGAGGACAGGCGTAAATGAAAAGTCATGCCTTCCACATTACATGAAAAGGACTGCCACACCTCTTTCTTGTGGTCTTTCACATGCCTGTGTGCTTTACATAGGAAATGCACAAAAATAGGCCAGGTGGTGGCACATACCTTTAATCCCAGCACTCGAAAGGCAGAGGCAGGCGGATCTCTGTGAGTTCAAGGCCAGCCTGGTCTACATAGTGAGTTCCAGGCCAGCTGGGACTACAGGAAGACCCTGTCTCAAAAAGACAAAAAAAAAAAAAAAAAAGTGCCAGGCATGGGAGGAGTTGAGCACCCAACATCAGAGTCTCAGTTCCTGACTCAATGTCACCTCCTTAGAAACCTCTAGTTCACCCCCTGCAATGTTCCCCAAGGTTCTGCCTCTTTAAAGGCACCAGGTCACCAGCTTATCTGTCCACATAGTTGGGGGCTTCCCTCACTACCACACCCTGAGGACAGGGCTCCCCAGGGTGATCATGGCTGAGCACACAGTGGGCACTTAACAGACACACACTATGGTGACAACAATGCCCTGCTGCCACTGCTGTCATGATGAAGTATGGTTAGTGCAAAGTGGGGGACATTATCAGCAACCCTGGAGTCCTGACTTTGAGGCAAGCAGTCCCCTCCAGCAGCTCTCAGTCTTTCCATTTCAGTTTAACAGTAAAGCACAGAGGTGCCACACCTACCACTCTCTTTTCCTCTTCCATTGCTGCCCTTTTCTCTTTGATTTGCTCCTGCAAAACCTTGTAATTCACATAACTATTTTTGGGAGGCTAAAAGGAAAGAATACAGACTTACCATCAGTTTCTAGTCTGCAATAATGTCCAGCAGTCCCTGTGCTGCCCCTGCCCCAGGCCTGGCCATGGTAGGCGGCCCCTCACCTTAGCCCCCAGCATGATGGCCCGTTCCCGTTCCAGGACTCTTTCCTTTCCTTTGCCATAACCTGTGATCCCAAAGCGGTGCACTTCCAAACGAGCCTGAGGACACAAAACAGTCAGACCCCATGTCCCCAAAACTCCTCAGCAGAAGTGTACCCCCAGGAGCCTCAGAGACACCCTGCCTCACAGAAGCACCACAGGGATCCTTCGCCACTTCTCTCCTTGACTGTCTCTTCCTTGTTTCATCACAGCTGAAGCAGAGAACTCTCTCTGCATGAACTGGTAACAGAGCTGGGGTTTAAGGCAGGACGGTATGACGTTCTGGGGTATGATGGGATCTTTCTGAGCCAGTACCAGAGAGCAGCCAATTAGATGAAAGTTCCTCTCTGGCCCGTGCACGCTTGGAAGGTGAAAGGACAAGCCTAATCCCACCCTTCTCTCAGGCATCTCTGAAACCTACTGCAAGTGTACAACATACATTCTATCTTTCTGGCTTACCCCTGCATCCCTGGTGTGTAACATTTTATCAGTGAACGTGGTGAGGTTGGGTTCACTGTATCCCCAGCCATGAGACATGTAAGACGCTACACAGAAAGCTGGTGCCGTGCTAACAGTTTTTTGTTTTGTTTTGTTTTTTGATCTTTTTGAGACAGGGTCTCCCCGTAGCTCCAGCTGCCTGGAACTCGCTCTGTAGACCAGGCTGGCCTTGAACTCATGGAGATCCACCTGCCTCTGCCTCCCAAGTGCTAGGATTAAAGGCGAGTGCCACCATGCCTGGCTATGCTAACAGTTTTTAATTCACAATAAACTTAAAAGTTAAAAATGAACCAAAAGTTCTTTCAAAGCACATACCTTTTCCAGGTTAAATTCTTGAATATTCACATCTTTATCAAGGGCCCTCTGCAAAGCAAAAAAAAATGTTATTAAAAATTAGTGACTAGGAGGCCGGAGAGATGGCTCAGTGGTTAAGAGCACTGGATGCTCTTGCAGAGGACCTGGGTTCGATTCTCAGGCCCCACATGGCAGCTAACAATCATCTGTAACTCCAGATCCAGGGAAATTTGATGCCCTCTTCTGACTTCTGCAGGCACTGCATGACACAGGTGCACTCACATACATTCAAGCAATACACTCATACACATAAAATAAAAAAATAAAATATTAAAACATACAAACAAAATTAATGATGAGGGGCTGGAGAGATGGCTCAGTGGTTAAGAACACTGGCTGCTCTTGCAGAGGACCCAGGTTCAATTTTCAGCACCCACTTGGCAGCTAACAACCATCCATAACTCTAGTTCCTCTTCTGACCTTTGTGAGCACTGTGTGACATGTGTGCATTTATACACATGCAGACAATATACTCATATACATAAAATATTAAATAAGATATTTTTGAAAAAAAATTACCAACTAGCCAGAGATAGCAGCACACATCTGTAATCCTAGCATTTAGGAGGCAGAGGCAGGAGGATGGTGACAACTTTGAGGCCAGCTTGGGCTACAAAGTGAGATCCTATCTCAAAATAAACCAACAACAGCAATTAATCTCTCTCTACATATATATACATACATACACATTTAAAATAAAAATTAAAAATCAGAAAACAACAGGTGCTAGCAAGGATAAACAAAGTGGAAACCTTGGTCTCTATAGGCAAAAATGTTAAAGGGTAAAGCTGCTGTGGAAAATATGTGGCACTTCCTCAAAACATTAAAAACAGAACGAGCACACCGGAGCAATTCCACCTCTGGTGTGGATTAGCAGAGTGTCTGCACACTGATGTTCAACAGTAGCTACAACAGAAACAACTCAAATGTCCACTGACAGATGAATAGATAAAAGGTGGTATATCCATATAATGGAGTCTTACTCAACCTTTAAAGGAACTTCTGGGCTGGGGTGTAACTCAAAGTGTTAACCTAGCAAACATGAGGCCAGCACCACAAAAAAAAAAAAAAAAAAAAAAAACCTTGAAACCAGCTCATACATCTAAGTATCAGTTACACAGGTTGCTCTAAATCCTAAGGAGCAGCTCTCACAGAAAGGGAGGGGGAGAGTATGTATCTTAAGGACTCAAGGCTTAAAGGAAAGGAAGAGGAAACAAGAAAAAGCAAAGACACATCTGTCTCTAATGGCCAGAGAGAAAGTTCTGCTTGGAGAGGAGTTCAGAAAAGTGTTGACGTCTGACACCGTGAGGAGGTGAGGCCACTGCCTTTAAACCATTCTTTCTTTCCATGTTAGAATGACAGCTCACAAAGTCTTGTGCATTGAACAGTCAGTTCTTTGAGACACAGGCTCCTGGCCAAGGGGAAGACCTAGCTCTTAACTGGGAATGCTGTTAAAAATGCTTCTAGCTTGTGGCTCCTCAGTCACATCTCTTGTCTATGGTTTTGAGCCCACAGAACTCTCTAGAAGCTTCAGATCTTAAGGAAACCACTGCCAAAGACATAAATGTTTGGTCAACAGTAGTTGTCACCACCCAGTCCCAGGCTCCATCTGTTGCAACAGCAAGTGGGCTGTAAATGCTATGCAGCCTCTAGGAAAGTGCTGGCCCATGGGGGACAATGGTGCCAGCCAGAGCAGCATTCTGCTCATCCAGGGCATGGTACTACTCTGAGAACCCTGTAGTGCTCTGCCCTGCAGAGCCAAGACGCGGACCCACGTCTCCTGTCTCTCTTTTTTTTTTTTTTTTCCAAACAGGAGCTATGCTCTAGGCTCTGTGAACCTATCTATAGACTGGCTGACTTGTCAATCAAAAACTTTTGTAAGGAGATGGAGAGATGGCTAAGTAGAGCACTGTCTGCTCTTGCAAAGACCCAAGTTTGGTTCCCACATAGTAACTAACAATTGTCTGTAACTCTCAGTTTCAGGGGATCCAAACCCTCTTCTGGTCTCCACAGGCACCAGGCACGTTCATGGAGCACATACATGCAGGCAAAACACTAATATCTTTAAAATAAAAAAATCATTTTCTTTGGCTTGGATTTTTTTAAAAAAATGTATTGATGGGCTATTGAGATGGTTCTGTTTGGGCAAAAGTGTTTGCCATCAAGCCTGATGGCCTGAGTTCAATCCCTGGGGCCCACATGGTGGAAGGAGAGAACTGACTCCTATGGCTGTCCTCTGACACATACATCCCAAATAAGTAAAATGCAGTAAAAAGCTAGGTAGACAATTAAAAAGAATTATTAGTTAAAATGTCCAACCAGTCACCAATTAATAGTAAGTAACATCCTCTCTAAAAATAAAGGCAGTTTTAGAACAGTAAGGTGTTTATTCACACTTTGATGAGTGTAATCTCAACTAAAGTACATATTTGTCTTTCCTAAAACCTACTGACCCAACAGTGAGCAGCAGTGGGGTATGCTGGATGAATACTCTGGCCTCTGGCTGCAGGGTTATTAGGCAATGACATAGGGAGATGTCTTCCTGTCTGGTGATGTCTCTGGCTCCTCCCATGTACCTTATCAAAGGCTGAAGAGTTCCACCTCCTCCCATGCAGCAGCTAAGTAAGTATACAGCCTGGAAGCCAGAGCCTGGGGTTAGAACCTCACTTCTGGTGCTTACTTCAGACCCATAGTCCTTTATCTGAATTGGCAGGGCTGGGTTCCCTTGCAATACTGTGAACACACACACACACACACACAACTTTCAGGAGGGTTCCATTAGCACATATGGCCATTCTGCTACAGCCGGCTGGGGGCATGGCTTGGAGGGAAAGGCATGGGCAACAGGTGCAAGACCCCACACTTCATCCTTAACACTGGGGATTATACATTTCTGTAGCAATACCTGCAAATATTCATACCAAATAAAGTGATCAGAAGTTATTTTTAAGAAGCTTTGTGTTTGAAAGATGCTCAGTGGTTAAGAGCACTGGCTGCTCTTGCAGAGGACCTGGGTTCGATTCCCAGCACCCACATGGTGGTTAACAATCATAACTCCAGTTCCGGGGGAATCCAACACCCTCTTCTGACCTTCAAGGGCATTGTATGACATGGGTGCACTTAAACTTACAAGCAGGTAAAACAATCATACACATAAAATAAAAATAATAAAATATTAAAGAAGAAGCCGCCTTATTGGGGTTGCCTGCCAAATAAACGCAATTAATCTTAAAAACAAAACAGAACCTAGTCAAATTGTGCTTTTCAAAGCTCTGAGTATTTTGAGTTATACATGTTATATGTGGGATTAATGTTTAACTGCAGGCCAGGAGCTTAACCTCTCTAGGAACCAGGCTCCTCGAAGAGAAGACTTTGGAATCCCGAGGGGTTAATGGATGGGAATAGCACTAGCACACACAGGGAACAAAAGGAGATACAGACACAGATGCAGACCCCCTTCCCTTCTTGCCATTCTCTGCTTCCTTTTGATCTAGGCCACCATGGAGCTCCTAAAGCAGGGACAGTGCAGCTGGAGCAGCTGAGGGCAGAGAAGCCTACTGACATGGCCCTATGGGTCAAGTGTCACCTGACCGGTTTCAGGCTACACCTGATGCCCCACTGCTTAAAAGAACTCCTTCCTCTCAGGCAGACCTACTCCCAGTTCAGAGCAGGCTTTTTCTACTCACCCAAGCCCCTAGTCCAGGCCACCCCACTTCAAACCTGGACACTGAGGAGCCAAACACCTCATTCATCTCGTTTATAATCCATTCATATCCAGAGTGAGCATTCTGAAACAGATCACTGATGCCCCTGCTGAGAATTCTTTGGTGGCTTCCTACAAACTTTGTTTTTTTTTGGTCTTTTTGAGACAGGGTCTCCCTGTAGCCCTGCTGTCCTAGAACTCACTATGTAGACCAGGCTGGCCTTGAACTCATAGAGATCTGCCTACCTCTGCCCCTCAAGTGCTGGGATTAAAGGCACGCGCCACCATGCCTGGCTTGTTTTGTTTTTTAAGGCAGGATCTCCCTAGGCTGGCCTGGAACTTTTTAGTTTGTAACCTTGGCTGCCCTGGGATTTACTTGAATTCATGGTGCTCCTTCTACTTCAGCCTTCTGAGAGCAGTGCAGAATTATAGGCGCAAGCCACTATGCCTGGATGTTCCCACACACTCCGAAGTGACAGCTTGACAGTTGCTTCCAAGGCCCCGCAAGGGCTGGCTTTCCTGGCTCTGTGTGCCAGCTCATGCCACTGTCTCCTCTATCCTACTCCTGCTGATTTTCCAGTTCTCTAAACTGGTTATGTGTCTGGTACCTGATGGGATTGGCAAATTTGTTTCTTCCTTGCCAGTACTGCTCTCCCCTTCCCCTTCCGGCACCACTTAATACTGAGTTTCACCTGCTCAGGACTGTCCTTCCCTGACCACTCCACCTATGATGGGCATCGCCCGTTCCTCTCGGCATTCTATTGATTTCCATCGGTGTTTGCAACTCTTGATCACTGTACCATTATTTTATTGGGCCTTTGTCTCCACAGAACACAGTACAGCAATCTCTACAGGGGCAAAGGATCACATGCACCTCTGTTGTCTCTAGGGATACACATGAGGAGGTGTGGCATAAACAAACAGGTAAGTGACAGCTCACCTCCGGTTTCCTGTGAAGGGACTTCTGTAGTCAGTGTTTCACAAGGAAGGTAAGGAGCAGAAGTTCACTTGTGGGTAAAACATGGGAATGAGTAGATTGTTAATGAAACGGTGCCTATGTTCCCAGATAAGCCCATTAAGCCTATGACAATGCACAGCTCAGTTTCAATATGAAATTCACAGGTCTAGTGTAAGTTCTGGGAAAAGGCCATTTTCTGGGTTTAGGCATGGCCAGACAGTTGGATTATTGTCCCCAATTCACCAGTACCGCTTCCTTTCTCAAGTTCTCTGATTCCATAACCTCCAATGGAGTTTATCATCAATTACTGTCTCTGTCACCACGCCTGCTGGAAATGCCTTAAGATGGTATCCCTGTTTTCAGAGAACAAGGTCCAACCTGACCTTCCCTGGCACACAAGCACTTAGCACAGCATTATGCTCCTCACTGGCCCCAGGCCACCGGGCTCCCTTCATCTCATGCAGCCACTACAGAGGGCCCACTGGCATCTATTCAATGCTGCAACACCATACGTTACAGCCTTTGCATGGGTTTATGTGTTTCTACTGGGACCACCATCTCCTTCACTGCATACGCACATTTTCAAAGGGCAGAACACTGAGAGAAAAAGAAAAATTCCAGTAAGTTCAGGAAGTTCAAAAATGTAGAAAGAGCACCCTTCAACTGGCTCTTGCAGTGGGAAGAGACAACTTGACAGCCTACTAAGGGATGGAAAACTTGGACTCACTCAGTGTCACTGTTTTTGCCCATTCTATTAATAAGAAAACTTCCAGTCTAGAAAGAGGGGCAGGCATTGAGTGCAAGAGGAAACACACTCAGGCACTTGAAGCAGTGAGGAAGGGTGCTCAGGTGGGTCATGTTAGCTTCACTCTCCGAACTTGGTGACAGTGAAAGCAATGCTTTCCTACCTTCCCACACCAGAAAAAAAAAAAAAAAAATCAAGCTTTGTAGGGTTCTCTGTGGTAAGCAGATGGCCAGCTGAGGCTGGCCCACTTACAGCAGGTCTCAATGCCAATATTTGAAGCATGAGTGGGAAGCTGACTTATGAGTCCTGTAGTAAGAGCACACAGGGCAAATGTGTCCTAAGAATTGCTGAGGAAGAGATGTCAGTGATCTGGGTGAGAAAGAGCACCAAATTCTAAAACACTGGTGGATTTGTTTTGTGTTTTTGCAGTACCACGGATGGAACCCAGAGCCTTCTACATGCACATGCTAGGCAAGGGCTTTACCACTGAATCCCTTAGCCCAAGGAATACTTCTTAAAACAATAAGGAGGGCTGGAGAGATGGCTCAGAGGTTAAGAGCACTGACTGCTCTTACAGAGGACTCGGGTTCCATTCCCAGCACCCACATGGCAGCTACAAACTGTCCTTAACTCCAGTTCCAGGGGAATCCAAAGCCCTTTTCTGACCTCCATGGCATTGCATGACACGAGTGTACTCACATACATGCAGGCAATACACTCATACACATAAATTATTAAAAAACCAAAACCAGTAAGGATACAGCAAACAATCACACAGCTATAGAGAACAAGCTAAACTGAAGCCACTGTTGGGGAACCCTGCTGTTAGGGTTGCAGATCTCCAAGTCCAGATAGCCCTGAGGGGCTCGGCGCCAAATGGAAGAGCTCCCCTTTTCAGCAGGAGGCCTCCTGCTCTCTTCCTGGCTCACCTTGAAGTGCCGCCAAACACAGATGCCTTATCTGAAACATGACCTTTGGCATAGTTACCTGGAGTAAAAACTACTCCCAGGTTTTTTCTATATGATAATCAGGCATTGCCTGGTAGTCGGACTACAGGAGCCCACTGCCACATGTAAATAAAGCATACTATGAGCACCTATCAGCTGAGGCT